AATTATAATTTAGTGAATTTTATTTCATTTAATTTTTAATGATAAAATTATTATTTTATTTTTTTTTTGCCCTGTTTTTACAGGGCACTGGACCATAGGACGGCATAAATGTAGATTTGACCTACCCTGTGGTTTCTCCTGTAATGCTCTCGAAGAAAGGACACCAGAACACCTGATGTGTCTATGCCCAGGTTTGGCCAGAATTAGGCTTAAGTTTCTGGGGGCTTCCTTCTTCAACACACTCGGCGATATCTCTAGCATTATCATTGGCCAGATTCTTGCCTTCATAAATGCCTCTGGCTAGTTCTAGCTTGATTTTATGTCTACTATCCACTATTGCGAGGTTTTGTGGATTCAAGGTGGCTTTTTTTAGCTAATTGAGGAGAACTCGTTCCTATCTAATAACTAACTATGACTATACTATAGTAATAAACATAATCTGTTAATTCAATAAAAAATATATTTATAAATTTTTCAATAATAAATGTTAAATTTATAAAATAACATTACTTCTAATACTTTTTATATATTATAATTATTATTTAATGGGTTTATTTTAAATAAACTATTAAAAATATTATATAAAAAGAAAAGTAAATTTCACAATTTTTAATATTGTCATGTTCATCCCTCAGTAATTAAAATATTTTTACATACACACACTTCTCAATTTTTTCGCTCGCCATCAGCAACAATCTACACACACATATATAAATCACACTGCGATTTATATGCTGTGAGCTTTGAATTCTCATTCAGACATTGTGGATAAACTTTCTCATAAGAAATTTCTAGACGCAGCTAGAAAAGTAAAATTTGCCGGCATATATTTTTCTCTCTATTGTACATACACCCAGTAGAAGTAACGAGCAACATAGAGAAATTTCCAAATGTTAATAGAACAAAGAGTAGAAAGAGTACAAATGAGTACGACATAATTTTCATGTTAACGGAATAGGTATAAATAGCCGGCTGCAGTGCCGCGCTTATCATTTACGTTTGAAAATTCAAACTGAAAAGACAAGTGAAAAGTTTGTTGTCGTGCGGAAAATTTAAAATAAATTATTTTAATTTAAAATGCGTACGTTACCAATGATATTTCGTTTGGCTGATGAAATGATGTCGCGTCAAATGCAATCAGTATTTTCTTCACCATTTTATGAGAGTCCATTTGTATATCGTTTGGCGCCTTGGAATCACATCAGTCGCTTACAAAAAGAGGAAGAGTTACCAAAAGTTGGTAAAGATGGCTACCAAGTTTCCATAGATGTTGCACAATTTAAACCTAGCGAGTTAAAGGTGAAAGTTTTAGAAGATTCCGTCATCGTAGAAGGAAAATATGAGAATCGCGAAGATGACCATGGTTTTTCATCAAGACAATTTGTTAGACGTTTCTTATTGCCCAAAGGATACGATTCAAATAAAGTTATGTCAACACTATCATCTGATGGCTTACTAACTGTTAGTGTTCCTAAGCCACCTGCTATTGAAGATAAACCTGGTGCTCGGGAAGTTCCTATACAACAGACCGGTCCGGCTCATTTAAATGTTAAGGAAAATCCAGTTGAAGATGATGGAACTAAAAACGCTTCTTAGAATTAATTGTAAATTATGTTATATTCTTATATAACCAAATATACATATGTTATATGTTTAAAATTGAACTGAAGTAGTAATATTGAAAAATAGTTAAGTTTAAAATAAAAAAAAAATTAAAAATTTAATTTTGCTTTTATTTTTTAAAAAAAGTTTGTGGCGGAAAGTTTTTGAGTTTGTCTAGTGAAGTGGCTTATTTTGCTTTGTACTGCGTTGTGAAATTAATATTTTTGATGTTTCGGAATCTTTAGAAATTCTATAAAAATTAATAATATTTTGGATAGGATTATTTTGATGCAAATCTCTTCTAGATTATGACATTTTCAGCATAAAATTTTTTAAATATCTTTTTAATATGATTTTACTATATAACTTTTTAAATATCCCTACATACTATATATGATTAATATTTCATTTGGAGTAACAAATAAATTATTTTAGTATTACATATTTCATGGAAAAAATTAGATTTTTTGAAAACATAATACTAAGATGGATGAATATTTCATTCTGCATTTCATAAAACACACAAGTGCTAAGAACTTAAGAATATCTGTCTAAAACCACAATACTAAAACAGCGAATTTGGTTTTTAGAAACACATCACTTACTGGATATGAAAATTGATAATATTAATTAATATATTAGAGAATACTCAACAGAATTATGTTGGGATTCTGTGAATACTCAACAGAATGATGTTGGGATTCTGTGAATACTCAACAGAATTATGTTGAGATTCTGTGAATACTCAACAGAATTATGTTGGGATTCTGTGAATACTCAACAGAATGATGTTGGGATTCTGTGAATACTCAACAGAATTATGTTGAGATTCTGTGAATGCTCAACAGAATTATGTTGGGATTCTGTGAATACTAAACAGAATGCAAAGTTAAACTTGTTAAAAATCACAAATTCTTTTGTCACCAGTGACTGATATGCCTCACTTCAAAGTCTGATATCATAAAAAACAAAAACAATTTACTCCAGTCAAAATAATAGAAATAACATCAATACATATCACCCAAATAATTACGTTTATAAGTGAGTAAAAGTAGATTAAACTAGATGCTAGTCCAAAAAATCTCTATTATCTGTGTAAATCGAATTTTATTATAGAAATAGGCAACAGTCTCATTTCATGGATAATTTAAATTTAAGCGTTCTTAAAGCTCTACTCCTAAGATATAGTTATCAAGATCTTTTAAAATATTTTTTAAAGCATGTTTTTAAATAAGACCTTTATGTGATTTCAACCCAAACGACCCAGCATGATATCATATAGTACTCACGCAACGTGCTATCAGAGCTCTCTATTTCTTATGTACTTTCAATCTGGAATGTACCGATTCAAAGATAAATATTGATAAACCCAAAATTCATTAAGAATTACTAAAAGTCTAACATAAATTTGTAGTTAAAATAGACAATGCTATATACAATAGCTCTATTACCAACAAGGGCTATATTAAATAGTTAAGATAGAATATCCAATAAAATATACATTTTTATATATTAGCTTGTCCAATAAAATACAACTAGTCTAAATAATTATACATATATTAAAATCCGTGAAAGTAGTCCATTACATCTAATACGATTACAGCTAAAGGTTATTTAAATTTAAATGTATTTCCGAAGACCGAAGCCAATTTTCTTTAGCTTCAAGAAATGTAAACAAATGGTGATTCATGCTGTACTACGAGTGAAAAACATACAAATTGTGTTGAAAGAGTCCTATAAAAATACACTTAGAAGTTTTATCTCATCATATGTAGTTATAAAAATTTTCCCAAGATATTAATTACCATTTTAATACATTTATATTTTTACATAAAATTAACTTAAAATACTTAAGACTATACTCAACGTTTTATATATAAGCACAGAAGATACGTAGTATACTCTTCTTCTCCGTGTTAAAAGTTCAAAACTAAGAATCAATATTTTGTTAACATTAATAGAGAAGAGAAAAAAAAATAAATTTTTAACTATATTTTTATCAAATTAGATGTATTACATAGTAAAAAATTAGTTCCTACTCCATTTGAAGAACAGTCAAACGAATATTTCTCAGTAATATATTTAAAGCATTTTATACAAAGTTCTTAAATTCGGATCGAAATCTGTTACATATGTAGTCGTCAAACGAAAAATACTACTTCTACACTCTCATCTGTGTTCTCGATCATACGAACATTGAAAGAAATAAAAATACAAGCATCCGCCTTGATGATTTACTGGAGGTATCCCTAGGGTTTCCTAGGGGTTTGTGTTTTCTTAGAAATCTTCACCTTGAACATTGTTTTTAATACTCATTGTAGAAGATTTGAAAACTTAAAGACACAATTAAGCATTTTCTTTGCAATTACCCAGCTTGGGGTTTCAGAAGATTTTAGGAAAGTACAACTCATTCGAAATAGAATTAATTGATATTTTTGATGCTCAATTCAAATTCAATGACTTTCAGTAAAGATTATGACTAAATCTTTTATTGAATTCTCGCAGAGCTTTGATAAAATTTGCTGTAATCACAAATTTCGGTTTAACTTATGTTAAACTTATGATCTTAAAATTATTTTTAAATCGAATATCATAATTGTTAACCCTTTTACCATATAAACGATCCTTACCAAAAACTTAGATTAAGTCTGTGATGATTCTGGTTCTAAAAATCGTGGAACTCACAGATTAAAAGCACTTCTCATCATAATGGATTTTTAATATAAAGTAAAATATGGGTTTTATAGAAAAATCTACCCGAATACAGAATATTACATACCAACAATTATTTTAATAAATATTCTTTGATTAAATAATTTTCAGTGTTTCATCTCAAAAGAATTTTTAAATTACATATAGATTCGATTATTTTATTGGAATTTTCTTAACAACTACTAGTAAACACCTTAACAGCATAGGACCTCGAAATAGCGGAATGAGTATAGCATAGTTAACATAATTACTTATTAATATCAAAATAAATATTGTTTATAATCGAAATAGTTACGTACTGCAGAATCAATTTCCATATTATAGTTTCACACATATTTAGTATGATGGGTGGTCTTTAATAATGGATTTTTTTACGATTATATTGAAGTAATGATTTCCTTATATATGGTACAATATAACACATAACATGATTTCAAAGTCCGAGTGTTTTACAAAATATGAGAAAATACATCGCAGTTTGATGCCATTGATACATTTAAAAAATATATAATAATTTAATATTTCTAAGTGTATTACATGCTCTTTATATTTTTTTAAAGTGTCTATTTCTGCAAGACAATTTATATCTCGCCAAGAACGAGATGTAAAATCACGTCTATTGAGACAGTATAAAAGACGTGGAAGTTAAAGCAAACACTTTTATAAATTCTTTGAAAGCAGCTGCATGCATTAGTTTAAAATTTTATTTGCAATAATAAAATTAAATAAAAATATTTCTAAATATAAAATTTTAAAGCAAAATGTCGCTTGTGCCAACAACGTATCGCGATCTTTCGCGTGAATTAGATCGACCACGTTATTATCCTCCTTACGATTTTAACTTGTATCCTTATTTATATGATGATCCGCGAGTTTGGTGGCCGTCAGATATATTGAAACCTATGGATGACCTCGTTACGCGGCGGGTACGCAACCAATTAATACGTTCATCTCCTCTTGATTGGAGCTATCCAATGCGGTGGCAAAATTATTATGCAGGTGAACGAGTTTATGTTGATGAAAAAAGATTTCAAGTGGATATTGATGTGCGTCAGTTTAAACCACACGAAATCGTTGTGAAAACCACTGATGATTATGTAATCGTCCAAGGTAATCATGAGAAGAGGAATGATGGAAATGGTTTAGTTGAACGGCACTTTGTGCGTAAATATCTACTGCCACGTGGATTTAATGCCAATGAAGTTATATCGGATCTGTCATCTGATGGTATACTAACCATTAAAGTTCCACCACCTCCACCAACTAAATACTATAGTCCTAATGAACGATTGGTTAGAGTACATGAAACTGGAAGATTGGCTTTGCCGTGGAAATAGGTCAACCCTTAAAGTTCACAATTTATATGTTATAAACCATCTGCATACCAGTTAAGACATATATAATTTAATATATATTTTTATAAGTACACTTTTGATTGTATTGTAAGTGCAAGTGCAAGTGCATTGATATACTTTTCAGAATTAATATAATTGTATGGACCCAAGGTTAAATTATTCTAAATTTAGTAATGCAAAATTTACGGTACATCTACTTTTTGTACAAATTATAGTTCAATTAAAAAAAAATATCTAAAAAAAAATTCATTTATACATATATAAGTGTTTATGGTTGATAAATAAATAAAATTGCGATTGATGAATAAATAAAAAGTAGTTCTAATATATTTTTTTAACTACAAGTATGTATTTGTTGCAATATACAGATTTCTAAATCACTTATATTCATTAATACTAATAACAAAGGAATATTTTTTTAAATGATTTAGATATTAATATTGTATTTATTAAATTATTGCCTTTAATGAATTATATATAAGAAGGATGGCTGTATAAACTTATTTTAGTAGATAAATTCAATTACTAAGGACCTTTCATAACATATCATATTGCTATGGTGAGATCTATGATGAGATATTGCTGTGGAGAGAACCATCATTAAATCTACAAAGCTTTGACAAATAAATGCAATAGTGAATGAAATAACTAACCTAACTAACTAACATGGACTAGCAAAATACAAAACAAAGAACAGGTCAAAATTTTTTGATGTTTTAAAGTCTTAGAAATTCTAAGAAGTGTACTAATTAGATCAATGACTATATATGTGCTTGAGAAACCAATTGTAAGAACCAAGCTCATAAAAGTAGTGTTCAATGCAAACCAAACTTTCACGACCACGTTGTGAGACTACGACAGCACAACAATGCTACAATACAGTTAAAATGATCACGTCATGAACTATAAAGGGATACATAATATAACACGTAAAAATCAAAGCTGAGATGAGAGAAATATGTAATACTGAAGATCTTATACAATGGACTATGGTAAATAGAAACAGCATTAAGTTCAAAGTAGGATCTCTTCAGTATTAAGATATGCTTGAGTATAAAAAGTTCGAATTAGTATAATAATTTTATCAACGACTATGTCCTTGAGAAACTAATTGTAAGAACCAAACTTATAAAAGTAGTGTTCAATGCAAATTCTACGATTAACAATACTAAAACATAGATGAAATGAATATCCCATAAACTATAAAAGGATACATAATATAGTATATAAGAATCAAAGCTGGGGAAAATACGTTATGCTAAAGATTTTAAATGATAGACTATGTTAAAGAGATACAATATAATGCCACAAGAAGGATTTCCTAAACAATGCCATGAATGCTAAACATCAATTAATCATTTATTCCTGATTCTTATACTTACTAATAAACGTAATATTATAACATTAGCTTATATTGAAATCAACATAACCATAAGATAATTATAGTTATGTGACCAAATTCTATTCTATTCTATTCAAAAGTCAAAACCTCAAAATATCAATTGATTAATTGATTTTTTTTAAGTTTTGACGTGAAATCGCCCAACAGCCGGTACTACAGCTAGAAAAGTTATATTGTACCAAAATTGGTTAACTACAGTTTTTATTCAATACATTTTTTTGAAATATAGACGACAGCAAAAAAAAGAAAACTTCGTTTATTTGGGCTCTCAAACACTCAAACACGCTACAAATGTCACGAGGTATCTGAAATGTTATTATACTATATAATTTTATAATGGTATTCAACTACTGTTCAAATTATTACCAACCTTAGCCCATTATTAATTTTTCTTCTAAATGTAGTCATGATTCATGGAGTCATGATCATTATAAATATATTTATTTATCATATATTACTGAAATGTAAGATAATATTGCTTTATATTATCGTTCCGTCTAGTTCCTTAATTCTGAATTTTATAATTCGAAAAACGTACATTAAAGATAATGATTCATTTCTTGTCTTTATCATCTCACTACCGTCTGAGATGTTTTATATACTGTGTTTACATCATTTGCTTTAGCAATTATACTTTTAAGTGATCTGCGTTGTTATAAAGCTATTGCTGTATAAGAAGTTTTGAAAAAGAACTTATCGAATATAATCGAACAAGTTCCATATTTACTTTAGTCATTTGTGTATATAGGAAACTACACAGAGAAACTGTGCATTCCTTTCAATACTCACTGTAGAAATTTTTGAAACTTACATTAGATGAAAGCAATTAAGAACTTTCTCTGTGATTCCACAGAATCTTCTTCCTCGTTTCCAGAAGAAATAGATTTTTGGGGAACTATTTTTTTGATCTGATAACTTCAGGAAAGACATTTCGTATTGATTGATATCTTAAACAATCTATGGAAAATGTATGGAGGATTGGGAGTTAAAATGTTAACACTCATGGCATTCAATTGTAACTATTTTAAAAGCGACATATTATAGAGAATGTTGAAGAATAGGCATAAAATATAAATATCCTTTCGGTACACATACTTTATCTTAAGCTTCGTAGCAAAACCTGTTTACGAATTCTTTTTTTCATTTGTTATGACATAATTTATTTAAGACATTAACCTATATTTTAATGAGAAGATAATACTGACTGATTCTAAATTGTGTCGGTTTTTTATAATTCTGCTTTTTAACTTCTCTCAATAGCTACCATATTCATCTTATTATTGAGAACACAACTAGTTTTCTAGCATGTGGTGTAAAAACTTTTAAATTGAATTTAAAAAGATTATATATTCTTAACAAAAACAAACTGTAATTAATTACTTTTTAAGGTGATTAATTTTCAGCCCATAGCTCGCTCTATAGAGCGCTCTTCCTCCCTGTGCTTCTGTATGGTGCAGAAGCATGGACGTTATCACAGAATGATGAAGAAGCGCTGCGAGTGTTCGATAGTAAAGTTTTTCGTAAGATCTTTAGTCCTCTACGAGTTGGCGACGACTACCGCATACGAATGAACCACAAGCTATACGAGCTTCATCACGACATTGATATAATTCAGCGAATTAACATCGCTTCCGGCTTCGCTGGCTTGGTCATGTCGTGAGAATGGATGAAGATGTTCCATCGAAACTGCGAAAAAGGTGTTTGAAGCAATAGTTCGCGGGAGAAGACGTAGAGGTAGACCGTGTCTCCAGTGGAATGATAAAGTTGATGGAGCACTAACTGCACTTAATGTACGAGAATGGAGAAGGCGCGCACGCAACAGAGGCGCCTGAGGAGACATGCTGCGTCAGGCCGAAACTCGGTAACAGGTTGTTATGTCCAAATAATTAAGTAAGTAATTTCCAGCTGATATAGTCTGAAATAATCTAAATGATCGTTATAATATTCGTGTACTTTCATACCTTACATTACTTCAAGAAGAACTTTAAGACTCTTTTCTTCCTCTTTTATATATAGAAATGGACTGTATACATTTTTTTGACTCCATTGGTATGCTTGACTTGTATTGACCTATTAAGTGCAAAATTATTCAAAAATAATTAATTCTAGTATTCGTTGAATTACTTTTTAATTAAAGACAAAACAAGACAGTTTAATGGGATTCTTCAGTACGTCGCATACTTTATTTATTGCAAAAATTTTATTATGCACTTTTCAGTACACATATGCGTGTATGTACCATAATTATTTAATACATACTACTACAAATATATTATAATCATATATATTTTTAACATTATTATGTAGTTGAATAAATCATTTATAAATTATTATATGTTCTTATATTTATAATAATAATATTTGTTTTCATTCATTATTTAATATTATGTGACTAAACCTGAAAAAATGCATTAATTTTAAAATAAAATTATAAAATAAAATTTTAATTAAAATAGGAATTGACGGTTGTTCGCACATGGCTGAACGTAACCCTTCTGCAATTATAGTCTTGTATGAGTTTTATTTGAATGTTCTTTTTGTCTCTCCTTCCGTTTTCTTCACTTCTAGTTTAGTTGGCAACTTCTTCGGTTACAGCATTTCCATTTTCACACTGCTTTTTGGCCAAGAGCACTAATTCGTCTGCCATAGCTGTTTGCTTTGTGTCACCATCCACAACGGCAGCAGCAGTCTCTTCATTTACTTGGCTTGCTGTTATAATACCGTCAACTACTGCTTTCTCAACAGCAACCTCCATATCAACGTCAGCGATAGCGGCAGCGGCAGCAACCTCAGTTGGAATAGCTGCAGCTGGAATATCAGTTGGTATGTCAGCAATGCCATTGTCAGTAGTATTATTGGTAGTGTTGGTTGTGGTGGTGGTAGTGGTGGTGATGCTGCTGCTATCGTTACTGCCAATATTGTCAGTGTTCTCATTTTCTGTATTTGCTGTATCCTCAGCGGTAGTGGCAGCAGTCATGTCGGCGTCGGCGTCGGTGGCAGCGTCTGCTTCTGCGTCAACTTCACCATCAACGTCTGCTGGAGAATCGTTGACTTTATTGGAATTGAGTATTGCTTCTTCTTCAATGGGGGGTGGTGAGACAATTTTTTCTGGTTCAGTCTGTTCAACATCCATTTCATTGGATGTGCTGTTGATGTTGTTGGTATCACCATTTTGCTCATTTATCTCTTGTGGTTTTTGTTGTTGTTGCTGCTGCTGCTGCTGTTGTTGCTGCTGCTGTTGTTGCTGTTGATGTTGCTGCTTCTGCATATCTTTTGCTGGCTGTTGCAATGGAGTAGGAATAGAAGTTGTAACTGATGTTGCTGTTGTTGTGATTTTCGCCTGTTCTTTGCCCGGCGAATCTTTTACAGACGATTGGGTTGGTCCAGTCTGCTGTATGTCTATGATGCGTTCTAAGGGTTCATTACTTTTTGTTGGTGCTGGTGGTGGTGCCTTCACCGTAAGTATACCATCCGAAGATAAAGTCGAAAGCACTTCGTTAGGATCGTAACCTTTCGGTAGCATATATTTTCGTATAAAATGTCGTGAGATAACACCATGTCCATCCTCCTTCTCTTCATGACGTCCCTCGACAATAATGCAATTATCGATTGTCTTAACAGTTAACTCATTTGGTGAAAACTGCTTCACATTCATGCTTACTTGAAATCCATTTTTATTAACTACAGAATATGCCGATTTAGCTGACTGTGATATATCTTTATCACCAACAATATTAATTTCCTTTTCACTGTCGTTTAATTGAGCTACAGCAGACTTTCCACAGCAAAATTTATTGCGATTGTAAGGATGGTGACGCTGCTTTGTGCTGGGCAGACAACAGTATTGGGAAATAGTGCGAGGACGACGTAATTGATGATTTTGTTGTACACATTGCTGTTGGTGTACGTCATGGGGATAGATACCGAAGCAAAAGTCATCACTAACATCACCGGTACCAAAGCAGCGATTAATTTCATGTAGCTCATCAGCCAAATCCATTATAAATGGTATTAATGACATAATGGTGCTTTTTTTTTTTGTTTTGCAATTATTTATTTATTAATTGAGATTATATATGAAAAGAGTATTTGCTTGCTTTAAATGTAAAAGTGCAATGTGAACCCGTTTGAATGCAATCGACGCGTTATCCGTTGCCAACACACGCCCGATACGCGTTCTAACTGGTTTTCATATGATGGTAAATTGCTGAATTTTCGCCTTTTAAACCAGTTGACAGTGCTGAATGGAAAATCCAATGGAAGTCTTACTCTGCTCCTAGTAATATCCGCTTATAATGTTGCATTTTTTTATTTACAATCCAACAATCTAACAATCACACAAACAATGTAGAATCGTATGCAGATGCTGCTACGTTTAGGTAGAAAATCGATACTATGGAGTTGAACTAAACGCATGTTTGCAGTGCAACGTAGTGAGCAACCTTTGCGGCAGAGAAAAGTGGCATTGAAACAGATTTACTTATTCACACCAACAAGTACATTTTTGTTCATTGTAGCTATTCGCCTCATATGCAGATATTTCCCCACCTCGATATATTATTATTAAATTGTACAAATGTTTAAAAGTATCTACAAAAGGGTAATTAAAAATAACTTCTTGTATGTATGAATGTATGTATGTATATATATTTAAAAATATAAGCAAGTCTGTATAAATTTTTGCAAAAAAACAAAACCATTAAACTTTTCCAGGCAATATGAAAACATAAAATAGCAACGAATATGTACCACAATGCCCCGTACAAAACGAATTTACCGGCGAATAACCGGTCTTTGCAGGTTTGCTTCCTATATTTACTCACAAATACAAGAACAGCTGAGATACCGGCAAATATTTTCAATGCACAACAACAAAAAACAGCTGGTCGAACCGTGAAGCACAGCAGTTCTTGAATGTAAGCATGCGCAGAAAATCATATGTATGTAAATATAACAGAATGGAATGAATTGGAACTCCGTTTTCCTGCACGCACACAATACGCTCAAGTATTTCTACATACGCTATTGCCGTAGTGGTGATGTCTGATTGGAATTGCACGCCTCGTTGCTTGCTACTACACACTCTACAGCTGACAGTGCAACATGCTCGCTTTGTCTGTCTCTATCTCTGTCTGCTACAAATTTCAATAGCTGATGATATTTGCATAGTAGTTTTTAGAGAGAAACTAAAAAACTAGTGGGATAGGTAAGAAGTATACATTTGCTATTAGATACTTAGAAGCCTTTGGATTTAAGCTATTTGTATGCACGTATATATGTATGTGTTTCTTTTATGCATAAACTTTTTAGAGATATTAAAAATTATAATATTAGCAATAATATATGCATTAATTAATACAAATAGATATTTATGAATCGAATTCTCAACGCTATTGAAGGTATAAATAAATAAAATCTTTATGTTATGTTTACATCAGATTTGTTGAAAGAAGTTATTGTTAATTAGTTAAAGATTTTAATGAATTAAAAATATATTTTAAAAGATACAACGATTTACAAGATATATCTAATTACGTACTTTCCATACAATACCATACTAATGCTAATAGACTTAGTAAAGTGCAAGTCTTTTTCTGATAAGCATATTTTGCCCAAATACAATTTTGTATTCGAAGGCGAAACGCTAATCTATTATATGTTGAATTCCTCAAAGAACAATCGGCTATAACTAGTAATCTTGATATTGAAAAATGTTTAGTACTTTATAAAGCAATGATTTGCTGAACAAAGATTTTATTTTTGAGTTCCCTACTCAAAAGGCATATCTACGGAGGTCGCGCTGCATCATTTGGTCAGCTAAATTCAAATCATCAGCTTTTGATATTACATCATATGAATCCATATCCAGAGTACTGGCCCGAAAACATGCTATGTTGAGTGCCTGGTTATACAGCAATCAAAGGTAATGAGTCTGCCGACAGTCTTGCGAGGTCAGGAACTGCCATTCAAATCTGTGGACCGGAGCTATATTGTGGATTATGTTGGGCTACAACTAGGTCTCTAATTGATAAATGGTTTTCAGCCAAGAGAAGTCACTATAGAGCTGAAGATATATTATTCGATGGTATAACGTCCATCTCTATTATACCTCAGGTTGATCTATACAGTAAAATAGTACTACCTATTTTGCTTCAAATCATAAGTTCCAAGACAAAATGCTCTGTATCTCAATAAAGTTGAAACCATAACTTCTCTGATTCTACTTTACAACCGCGAGCACCATGTAGAGTCTACAGTTAAACTTATGTGACAGCCGTTTTCTCCCACTTTACCTCATACATCATCTATAACATTTCTTCCTGTTGTAGTTTGATTTGCTTTTGTTCTGTCTCACTTTAAATAGCTTGATTAGCTTTTTAAAGTAATTCCTTTTTTTAAGATTCGTTCTTTTACAGAAAAACGACAGCAAAAAAGAAGATTATACTGTCTTTAACCAGTCTTTTAGGTAAATATTGTTGTCACTTGTACAATATGCGTTACTTATATTCGCTGAAAAATATTTATTTTTTATGTTAGCACTTTTTATTATCATATTGCTCTAAATTTCATCATGCCTGTAGGGAGTGTTAGCTCTCTCTGATATCGATAGGTACCAATAGGTCTATGTATGAGTTACAACCAGCCAAAATTGCTCACACTTGTATATTGTATTCTCTTCTTCGGTCTTGCCCAATAGCTGGAATGTGTTCCTAACGCATTTCTAAGAGGACTGCCGTTACGACGTTTGATGTTTCCATCCACCACAACAAAAAAAAATTAACACAAAATAATTTTGGAGTGTTAAACATTGTGAAAGAACGTTCTTTATTTAATATATGTATTTTAAAAAGTATCTAATTAATTTAAAGTAATTATCTAAAAAGTTTTTATTAAGCTTTAAAAAAATTGGTTAAAACGAAAGACAACTGATATACAATTAAAATGGCCTTTAAGTATTTGATTCCTCTCCACAACAGCTTCAGTCACCAAATCGATATCGATTAAACCAGGGCTGTCCAAAGCATGGCCCGTGGGTCACATGTGGCGTGCGGCTAATGTTTATGCGGCCCGTGACAAGTTTTTCATTTACTATAATTAACCAAATTTTCTTTTAGTGTGCTGGTAAAACCACATTATTTTATTTTTATGATATACCAAGTAAATGAATTTAAATTGATAATTTAATAAAACTAAATTTAATATTATAACCTTTTTTATTTTTATCGAAAACAACTATGAACGTACATACATATGTATGTATTTGTTTCTGTGACCCCCCAATCTATACAGTGATTGGTATTGGTCCGCGGTTGCATCTGCTCTGGACAGCCCTGGATTAAATATACAGGTTTCGTATAATAATATAATTGATCTA